TATAAAAAAAAAAAAAAACCCAAAAAGTTAAAGTTGAACATTGCAAAATCAAAGTAGGATTATCTGGTGTTCTCTCCACTGTGTCAACACCAAATGTTTCTTTAAATGCAGTCCATTCTGTTTGTCTGTTTTTGAGATGCACTAGTGTCCAGGCCTGCTCTTGTAGTTTCAGGATGTATATTGCCTGAGCACAATATTTGTAGTTGAATTAGTAATTTTGGGGCTTTTTGTCTTTCTCTCTTCCCTTCTATCACTGCCAACTTCTTAGGATGGTACTCAGCCTCCACTGGACACTGATGTAAACCTTGAAGTAATTGCTTATGATCAGCGCTGTGATTGTTACACGTGAGTGACTTCTTTTTTAACTCTAATTCCTGTACTAGCAAATGTCCTCTGGCTTATATTAAGGTGTGTTACCTCATTGTTAATAAAAAGAAGCTATCCAGGAATTCAATGAGACTTTATCGATACAACAGACTTCCTTTTCTTACATAGGATTGTTCAGGTGCCTGACTTTTTATCAACTGCAAAAAACTGCTTAGCAAAGGCAGCTGTGCCATCTCTCTTCTTTCCTTTGTGTCTCTTCCCATAAAGCTTACACCAAACTGCAGATATAACATATACAATACAAATTCTTAAGTATACAGTAGTTCTGAGGCAAATTCCATGAGATGGCAACCAGTTGTTGGTCATTTGCAAATTTCTAGATGTGTACAATTCCATAAAAGCATTAAACAATTAGATTGTCTATTAGGGTTTTACTGTCACTAATGGCAATAAGCTTCTTCCTTAGAAGACTATATGCTCTTGACATTTCTTACTTGTCCAATAAAACTGGTTTATACGGTAAAACAAGAAAGATAATTAGTAAGTAGCTATTTAAATCATAGTTTAAGAAATTTGCTAGACTCCTCCTAGCAAAAATAGTTTTTCAGCTGGTGTGTTGTGTGGTTGTAAAAAGAGAATGCTGGTGGTTGTTACAACTTGACCCAGGTTCCCCTATCTGGGCACACACCACTGTGTTGTAAATGCAACTCTGGCCTGAGTCCGTATGCTTTTGGGCCCTCTTGGTCTGGGTAGTGACTGATGATGACTGTATTGCAGCTCTGTGAAACTGCTGGGTTCCCAAATGCAGATACCTTGGGAGAGTACTTGATGTCCTGTTTTGGCAGTGGGAGCCTACAATGTGAACTCCAGTGCTCCAGCTGTTTACACGTGCCCTCTTAGCTGGGGTAGCTGTGACATCTATTAAAATCTTTTGGATAGACCACGACAGTCAAACGAGGAACACAGGCTCAGCAAAGGAGTTTAACTACAGATACTTTTACTCTTGAAAGCACTAGAGCAACGCTATCAAACATGCCCTGCAGGCCAGATGCAGCCTGCAGAGGTGTGTCATCTGGCCCATGGTGCTTATCACCACAGTTGCCAGAGCCCCTGCTCTTCCCCCTCCTCTTCACCCTCTGTTACCTACGGCTGAAATCAGTAGGGATCCAGGTCTTCTGTTTGCTGCAGGAAAAAATTGGCTTTTCCTCTTTAAAGGAGAAAAATCATGGGAAATTGCAGGTTTCCCCTTACAGGCTGGCAGCCTTCCAGCCTTCAAGTATCTGCTTGGGGCTCGGAGGAGCAGAGGGAGGATGATTGGCGTCACGGGGTGCCACGTGTGTGTGTGTGCACATGTATGTGGCCAGCATACAGCCAGGCAGGGTAGTGGTAGTAGCTCTGGCAGCTGGATAAAGGTATGGGCGGGGGGGAAGGGGAATGGAGGGCCATGGCTTGGGGACTGTCTGGAGTGCTGGGGCCGGGACATGTGGGTAACAAGGGGGTGGGGAAGGTGTTCAGACCTCGGGGTAGAGAGGTCTAAGACAGTGCTAGGTGCTACCAGTGATCCCAGCTCTGTGCTGCTGCCAGTGGGGCCTGCCTGCAGGCATCTGCCCTTCCAGCAGGGGAAGGGGATGGAGGGGGTCCTTTGGGGGCTCCAGGGAGCTGCATGGCCAGGCCAGTGGTGCCAGAGTCGATGCCTGTGCTCTCAGGGGCACAGCAGCCAAGACATGCTGTGGGGGTGGAGGTAGGGGTGGTGCCAGGCCACCTGGCACAGTGCAGGAGCCTCAGGATGGTGCGGGGGTGCTGCAGGCGTCCTTTTCTGCTCCCTCCAGCCTGTGCTGAGGCTGGAATCACTCTGTCACAGCTATTGCACTCCAGCCCAGACAGGACAGGGCCTGGAGCCTCTCATACTCCTCCCACTACCCACAGAATGGCCTGGGCCAGAGCCATGCTCCACTTCACACTGCTGCTGTGGAGCACAGTGTTAGTCCTCTCCATTGCACTGCAGCCCCAGCCTCAGCTGGTGGCACAGGGCAGCATGTGGTGCCTCAGCCACTGCCCGTGCTTCTACATGAGGTGCTCTGCATGCACCTCGTGCTGGAGGCTGTCTCCACTAGGTTCCCCCAGACCACCATCCTGTAGTCTGCACATGGCTGGACAGGGGCAGCTGGGAGCCCCCTTTCGCTGGCAGCAGGGGGCTGTAGGTCCGAAGTGAGGAACACCAGCAGAGCTGAGTGGGGTAGAGGGCTGTGGGTTGGGAGTGAGGGGCACCAGCATGACCCAGGGGGGCGGGGGACTGTGGGTCAGGAGTGAGGGGCACCAGCAGGGAAGTGGGGCTATGGGTTGAGAGTGAGGGACACCAGAGGGGTGGAGGCTGCAGCTTGGGAGTGAGGGGCACCCAGGGAGGGGAAAAGAGACTGCATTGGGAGCAAGGGGCACTGGAGGGGGTGTGGTTTGGGAGTAACGGGCAACAACATGGGCAGGGCATCAGCATATTAGGGCTGCTCAACACCACAAAGCAGCAGCGGGGAGGGCATTCTTAGTAAGTTGCACTACTTAAAAGCCTCCAAATGTTACGTGTATCAGCATCACTGCTCGTCTCTGCGCTGAAAAAATGGCAGCAGGGTGCTTTGAACTAAAGCTCATCAGATGTGTTTTATTTCAAAGCATGCCACTGCCATTTTGTCAGCGTGGAGAAAAATGATGACACTGATACACAGGACACATGGGGTTGCCCGAGTGCATCAGTTGTCATGCTCCAGCAAACTCAATCAAGTCTGCTCCAACGCACTGGAAAAGCAGGCCCCATGCATGGGTGTAGGAGTCCCTTGTCTCTCTAATACATTTCTCCCCATCTAGCATGGCCACACAATGCCCAGAATAGACTGACCATGTCAGGATTGGACTAGTTTTCAACCCTTCTTGCCTGTCTTAACTCAAAATAGAGGTTACACTGCCCTGTAAAAGTCTCATTTACAGCTATAATCACAAAATTAAATTTGCAAAACATGAAGTTTGCACTGTCTGCCCCAGCTTCCACCTGCAAGATTGAAGGGCAGCACTCACATTCACAGATGCTTTCTTTCCTGCCTCTGCTCAAATGAGAGGAGGGTGCTAGTATTTCACATTAGGGTATAATGTTGTCTGAAGATTGCTTGGACAAGGTTAAGCAAAGAATGGGTTTCAATTTGGTGGCATGTAACAATCTTTAGATTTGTGAAGAATTTGTTTTAAAACTTAAAAACAAAGTTGATGTTTGCTACTGTTGCTAGATTGGCCTGATCACTTAACTTGTGGGTAGCAGTGTCTTAACTGTAAAATCAGGATTTCTCAACCTGTGTGTGAGGAGGCATGACTAGATTTGCTCACTCTCAGCCAGTCTGTCAGGTCTCTCCCCTTTTTTATCCATGATAATAGGTAGCCCTGCAAAAAAATAACTTATTAGCTCTGAGGTAGGAAGAAATAATGCATAGCAAGCAATGGCTTGATTTGTGATGGGTAGTCCCTGCCAAGCTCAACTGGAAAGAGGGTGAGAAGGCAGGAATGACATCTGGAAAGAGCAAACTGATGAGCAAAAATCCCTCAAAATAAACTGGTAGCAATGGGAAAAGAGTAAAAGGAGCTGGGGCCTGGGTAGTAGACAGAATAACATGGGAATAACTATGTGGACAGGGAATGTCTGCAGTGTAAATTTAAAGCCCCATTTAGCATCTGAAATGGCTAATCCAGATGCATTAAAGAGATCTTGTGGGTGCAGCATTTCAGTAAAGAGTCAATAAGCCATTTATTCCTTTCTCTTGTGTCTCTTACAACAGAAGCTTTACTCAGGATCAAATGCACTTCATTCACTCTATAATCTTTCACACAATATCATAGCATCCTTTGAATGGATCTAATCCAGCTGTTGTTTGAAAAGCGTGTGTGACTTTTGTACCAAACTCTCTAACCATTCTCTGCTCCCCTATCCCAATTTGTATAAATTATTCTGAGAGCAGTAAATGTTTGTACTTGCTCTGATCATCAGTAATTCTTTTTTTTTTTTATAAGAAAGGACGTTCTCTCTCTTTGCAGATATAAATGCTGTTGACAAATTGTTCTATTATCATCCTGTCTTTTAATACTCTCCTGCCTTTTTGTATGTGTCATTGCACACAGACAGCTGGTTGACATCTGACCTAAACTAGCTCCTTCTTTCCATAATCTACCTCTAGGGGGGCAGATCTTTCCGCTCTGGTGCGTGAAGCTTCTATTTGTGCCTTGAGACAAGAAATGGCCTTGCAGAAAAGCAAAAGCAGGAAAGGTGAGATGATCTTTTTTTAAAAGTTGAAATGCAACCAAGGGAAGATGAGTAGGCTGGGAAAGTTTATAAAGTAGTTCAAGATAATTCTGAAGTTAGGCTGCTTAAACTGTTGGAATTTACTAAAATGACAACAGTTGTCAGTGTGTGTTGACAATGTGTGAGACCCTTTGGGAGGCATCATCTCTAGGAGAGAGTGGTGAATACAACAGGTGCATTGGAATGGATTTAATTCTGCATGGATAGGACTAGGAAGTGTAAAAGTAATTATGCATTTTGGAGGTAACTCCTGTGCTGTTACCACAACATGTTAAGCAAATTATTGAATGTATATAATTTTGTATATTTGGATCAGGAAGTGTTAGGTTTGAACAAGCTGAGTGTACTTCCTGGGATCAGGAAAATCCTGATGATTATACTTCTCTCAGGGGACAGATTTTTTTTTTTCCTGTGTGTATGTGGGAAGGAAGCACAGTGTTAAGATCCCCTGTGTGCAAAATCCAATCCCATAATGTGCTCAGCAGTCATTAAGGCCTTTGGTGATGGGGTGCAGGGGGAGCATGAATCAGTCCCATGCAAATTCTACACACTGAAATGTCTGATTTTTCAGAAATGCAAATGAAGAGCTGTCACTAAGGGATCCCACAAACTTGAAATCTATTGTTTCATCAGCAAGTTGTCTGAAGTACTGCACCTAAAGTCCCTATACCAGGTCTTGTGGTTTTAAAGCCATGTTTACCCATTTGAAGAACATAAGTGCCCTACTGGGTCAACTCAATAATCTGTCTAGCCCCATAGCCTGTCTTCAACAGTGGCAGGAGCAGATGTTTTAGAGGGATAGCACTGAAAAGGGTATATCTAGAGTGATTCATTCCCTGTTTATTTCTCTTCCTGGCATCCACCATCATTGGTTTAGAGCAGGTGTGTCAAACTATTTTCAAATGTATTCTTCGCGCCCTTACCTAAGAGCCAACAAAAAATGAAATACTCGCACACACTTAACAAGAAAGGCAGAATAACATCCCACCTAACTCATGGCTTGTGAGAAGGAACGTGTGCTGTAGCTGTTCTCCCATAAGTACTGAGGCTGCTGAATTTGTTCACTTATGCTACAATGGTGAGCCTTAAAAGTAAGATCCAGCCTTAGTTTGATTTCTTCTTATTTGAATAATGCAATTGTCCTGGTTAACTTAAAATGAACAAGAGGAGGAAGAGGAACATCAGACTTTGTATGTATATATGAATTTTGTAGAAAAGAACAAGGAAACACTTGGACATTACAAAGCAAGGAGAGACCGCCACCTTTTTCCTCTTTCTGCTTTCTTTTTACAGTTTTTATTGACCTTTAGCACAGTTAGGCCCAAATCCTGATTAGTAGTGACAGATTTTTTTCCATCCTTTTGTCACAGAGAAATCCTGAATTGACTGCACTGATTTATTTAATGTGGGGTTTTTTGGATAGAGATACACAAGGCCTCTCTGTGTATATTTAGTAAAGACAGTGGTAGGGCATTCTTGTGAAGCTGGACATATCTTGATGAAATGCAGTACCAAACAGGTACTGAAAAGTTCCTTGAAGAAACATAACTGGCTAATTCAGTATGTCCAATAAAACTGTACTGTACCTGTATTCATGTTAGTTATTGTACTAATTCTGTGTAGCAACTTGATTTTGGAGGATGTTAATTATATGTATATGACAAGACATTTGCATGAGAGTGCAAGACAATACCCACTTTTTCTTTTAGAATGAAATTCTTGTGGCCAGCAGCAGGCTAACAAAAGCCTCTCTTAAAGGTGGTGGCGGAGGGTCATTAAGACTGATTTGTTAATGTAGGGTTTTTTGGATAGAGATATAGGTAAAGGGCTGGCCTGATATGTCTACAGAGTATACAAGGTTGGATCGGTGATAATGGGGGCAACCAATCACCTGATCCCTTGAGCACCAGAAAGTGCTGATAAGATGCTGGTATAAGCCAGCCTGTGTAAAGGGTGCAGTCCCTTTATACTAGAACACCTTGTCTGGGCACAGTCTTGTTAAAGCACAAGCTTAGAAACCAGGAAGCCGTAATTGTGTCTAGTTTTGTCACAGAAAAACATCTGTTTAATTTTAGTGAGTCATTTTAAGCCTTACTTTCAAGTGTTGATCATCCTAAATTCTAGCTGAATTCAGTGTATGCTACAGTTGGTCAAGGCCTTGGGTATCAGTGCTGTATCTAAAACAGTCCTATTAAAATATATGTATTGTCATCATTTAGATGCCCTATAACTGATGCAGAGAGAAACAAAGGAGTTGCTCAGGTTCATATAGCTTGCATTAGATACACTATGGAAATTCAAAGTTCATGAAATCATTGGCTCACTGAGGATAATAGACTGTGCAGTTAGTGAAATTCATTATCTTAATATTTTCATTAATGTTGTCCTGGAATTTATTTAGAAAATGGTATTAGTCCATATGTGTAGTGGTATTATATATGGGTAAATCCTAGTCATTAAGTTATTGTACTGTGTGCTTTTTCTAAGGAGAAATCAAGATTGGACAAAAACACTTTGAAGAAGCTTTTAAGAAAGTGAAATCATCTATATCAAAAAAGGTAAGAATATTCATTTTGAATGAATAAGTAATGTTTAACTTTGCATAAAGCAGACTGAAGATAAGAAGCATAGAATTTTATATTTGCCAGAAATTGCTGGAGAGAATTACAGTCAGAATGCAGCATTTGCCTGTATCCAGGTCAATTTGGGGAACCTAAGGTCATGCTGTAAAACAGGAAGGATCAAACTTTTTGGCAGGCATGCCACAACATAAGCCCTGCACCCTCCCTGAGTGCCACTCTGGTCCCCTTCCTCTATATCAGGGGTTCTTAACCTTTTTTGTGCTGTGGACCCCTTTGGCAGTCTGGTGAAGCCTATGGACCCCTTCTGAGAATAATGAGCGTCTGTAGACAGGAAGACTGCGATCACATGCGATCTAGCGGTGGGTCTAATAACTACCATAATTTCGAAGTACTGATGAGCATAAATGATATTTCAAGATATCTGCAACAACTGTGATGTGATATGAAAATATCTGTGATTTCTATTGGTGACAGTCGCAGGTACTGGTAATACTACTGTGGTTTGTTGCCTACATTCATAATTGAAGGAAATGCTAAATTTCAGTTAGAGGTTAGTGAAAATAAAGATGTAATTTTTTTCCCATCCAAGTTCACGGACCCCCTGAAATCTATCCACAGACCCCTTGGGGGTCTGTGAACCCCAGGTTAAGAACCCCTGCTCTGTATGAAATGCTTCTTTGCTTTCTGTTCCCTGCCCTGTGCTCCCTGCCAGACCTGCTGCTCTGGTTTCTGCTCCCTGCCCCTATCTGCCACAGTATTCCCTGCTCCCTCCCCTGTCTGCCATGTGTCACAGGCTCTCTGCGCCATTTGTGGGGCACATGCTGCAGGCTGGCCACCCTTGTTCTGAAAGATCTTGTGGCACTTAAAATGACCTCAAGCATTTAGGGTCTCTGTTTTAGAATTCATACAAAACTGTGCTAACCTCTAGCAACGTTCTTAGAGATGGTTTGGTCCTGTGTGGACCAGGTTAAACTGGGCAAAGGATGGATTTTTACTGGCACAGTAAAACATTTTCCTAATAGAATTAATGTCATGGTATCGCTGATGCTTTACGGAGATTTTCTATTCAAGTACTGAAAAAGTTCTGACCTATTAATATTAAACTGGAGACCTGAGATAGAATCAAAGGGGTGGAAAGAACCTCGAGGGTCACCTAATCCTATCATCTGCACAGATGCACTTGTTCTGAACCATCCCAGGTAAATGTGCTCTAGTCTCCTTCTGAAAACTGTTGAAGAAGGAGATTTCAAAACTTTGCTAGGTAGCTTTTTCCATTGTTTCTAAGTTTTTCCTGAGATTTGATCTAAATCTTCTTTGCTGCAGTTTAAAGCCTTTGCCTGTATCCTGCTGTCCACAGCAAAGGAGAAAAAATCTTACCCTTCTCTTTAGGTATCTTTTCAAATACTTGAAAATCATAATGCTTAATCTTCTTTTCTCTGACCATAAATGTACTTAGTTTTGTTAAGCTTTCCTCATGGTTTGCATATTAATTCTTATATCATTGAATTACTTGTCTCTGAATTCACTCCATTTTCTCTATAACTAGACTCCTGGCTTCAGCAGGACCCTAACCAATCTTGAGTAGAATGATAGCATGATCAAGTCTTGCATACCATGCTTATGTTAATGTGACCCAAATTCATAGATTTCATAGATTAAGGGTCAGAAGGGACCTAGTAGATCTTCTAGCCCGACCCCCCGCCAGGGCGGGAGAACAACAAAATCCCAAAAACAAGAAACGGGACTCAAATGAGTCCAGCCAGGTAGGCATCCAGCCTCTTCTTAAAGACCCCCAGGGTAGGGGCCAGCACCACTTCCCTTGGAAGTTGGTTCCAGCTCCTAGCCGCCCTAACTGTGAAGTAGTTCTTGCGGATGTCCAATCTATACCTCCTCTCCATCA